GTAAAAATATATTTAGGAAGTCCAAAAAAGAATTTGAAGAACAGTTAGCCAAAGACTCAAAAAGTAACAGCAAAAAAATTTTTAAGTACACCAGAAGCAGTAAGTCTGCTAAACAACCAGTGGGGCCACTGGATGATCAAGATGCTAAAAGAGCACACAAGGAAGATAAGGCCATTGCAGAGAAACTAAATGAATTCTTTGCATCGGTCTTCATGGCTGAGGATGTGAGGGAGATTCCCAAACCTGAGCAATTCTTTTTAGGTGACAAATCTGAGGAACTGTCCCAGATTGAGGTGTCAATAGAGGAGATTTTGGAAAAAAATGATAAATTCAAGAGTAATAAGTCACCAGGACCAGATAGTATTCACCCATGAGTTCTAATTGTGGTATGCACCCTGTTATTTAAATCAGCTTCTGTACCAAACTGGAGGATAGCTAATATGACGCCAATTTTTTAAAAAGTCTCCAGAGGTGATCCCGGCAAATACAGGCTGGTAAGCCTAACTTCTGTACCAGGCAAATTGGTTGAAACTATTGTAAAGAACAAAATGATCAGACACATAGATGAACACAATTTGTTGGGGAAGAGTCAAAATGGTTTTTGTAAAGCGAAATCATGCCTCACCAATCTACTAGAATTCTTTGAGGGGGTCAACAAGCATGTGGACAAGGGGGATCCAGTAGATAGAGTGTCTTAGATTTTCAGAAAGCCTTTGACAAGGTCCCTCACCAAAGGCTCTTAAGCAAAGTTAGCTGTAATGGGATAAGAGGGAAGGTCTTCTCATGGATCAGTAACTGATTAGAAGATAGGAAACAAAGGGTAGGAATAAATGGTCAGTTTTCAGAATGGAGAGAGGAAAATAGTGGTGTCCCCCAGGGGTCTGTATTGGGACCAGTACTGTTTAACATATTCATAAATGATCTGGAAAAAGGGGTAAGCAGTCAGGAGGCAAAATTTGCAGATGATACAAAACTACTCAAGATAGTTAAGTCCAAAGCAGACTGCGAAGAGTTACAAAGGGATCTCACAAAACTGGGTGACTGGGCAACAAAATGGCACATGAAATTCAATATTGATAAATGCAAAGGAATGCACATTGGAAAACATAATGCCAACTATACATATAAAATGATTGGTTCTAAATTAGCTCAAGAAAGAGATCTTTCTTTGTGGATAGTTCTCTGAAAACATCCACTCAATGTGCAGCGGCAGTCAAAAACGCTAACAGAATGTTGGGAATCATTGGGAAAGGGATAGATAATAAGACAGAAAATATCATATTGCCTCTGTAGAAATCCCTGGTACTCCCACATCTTGAATACACTGCGTGCAGATGGGGTCGCCTCATCTCAAAAAAGATACATTGGAATTAGAAAAGGTTCAGAAAAGGGCAACAAAAATTATTAGGGGTACGGAACGGCTTCCATATGAGGAGAGATTAATAAAACTGGGACTTTTCAGCTCTAAAAAAGAGAGGAGTAACAGGGGATACGATAGAGGTCTATAAATCATGAGGTCTATAAAAGAAACCTTCAAAACCAGACTGTTATATCAGTAGATGCTTAAATCTTTCACATACAAGTTCATCTTATCCCATCGATTGACATGAGAACTATGGGAAGGAAAGAGGGTGGAGGGGGATTAAAAGTATAATAATGGAATGTGCATCACTGGGTGGGGGTGGGAGTGGGAGTGGGATGGGCAGAACACCACATGGGGTTTTAGCAGACCAAGAAGTCTTAAAATGACCCTCAAGTGGGCCTCTCTGGAGAGAGGATGTCCTGAACCTTCTCCCAAGATTTACAGATTAGAACCTCTCTAATGTTTCAACATTAGGGCACCAATTCAGCAAAGCACTTAAAGATGTCAAACTTTAAGCTTGTGTATAAAAGCATCTCTATTATAGTTATTTGGAGTTAAGCAGGTATTTATGTGCTTTCTGAATCAAGGCCTGGGGGCAGGGATGCATGTTCCATTATATCTTCGTACAAAAAGGCAAAACATCTAGGCTATAATTTTCTTATCTGGATGCAATATTTAAATCTAAGTCTAAATTTGGAACCTAAATAAGTATTCTCATTTTCACAGGTGCTGAGCCCTTGCAATGCCCATTGACTTCAATTGTCCTTCAAGTCACCTTTTGGGCCACCTCTGGATAGCCTCTGCTTTTTCCTTTTGAAGCTCTACATTGCGATATAATAAAGAATACTTGCTCCTCTGGCCTGAGTTTGAAAAATCAGATCTTTTGGTGTTTAGGTAACTAACTCATGGATATTTAATTTATTCAAGGAATTTATATAAAATGCAGCCTAGAAAGATAATAGAGTAATTGTTCTGACACCTCACATGACTGCCATCTCACACAAGCTACAGTAAATAACTCCTCCACATATTTCTTCATTTGCATTAGAAAGGTTCTTTAGCCAATACCCTTTTTCTTATATGTAGTTTAAAACAGAGGCAGTTCTTCTCCTCTGATTATTCTCTTTCACCCCTACGGCTATGTTACAGTCCCAAAGCATTCCCATACATATTTCCTCAAACACAATTGGTTTGACCTCTGAAGAACTTGGGAGCAGAGGGAAAGTTCCTGTATGACCCCAGCTTCCTGACGCTGCCCAGAGTCACTCTTTTGAATTTTTCTCCTTTTCACCATCTAAGATCTGGCTATCACATATGACGTTACCCCCACTGGCCTCCTCACTCTCCCCTACCTCCATCCACCTCATCCTCTCCTCTTCTTTGCTACCCTCTGTCATTCTCTCCCCTGCCATCCCTGCTCCTTTGACCCTCCTTCTGCCCCAGAACTCATCCCTCCACCTTTTCACTGTTGCCCAGCATGCCTACCCCCAATAACGAACAAAAACCCAGGAAGCAACCTTTACCTACTTACTGATATGGCCATCATCATCATCATACCCACATCACTACAATTCTTTAACACCATTGCTATTATTAAGACAATAAGTCACAATCTCCATAATAAACGCACAAACCTAAGCCACCCTATGATTCTTTGTCCCCTTTTTTCCTTAACCTTAACCTTTCCCCCTACCCATCTGTCTCCTGAATGCTTAGAATGTAAGGTCTTTAGGAGTGCCCCGTAAATTAATAACAATAAAAGTCAACTTTCTCTGGGGAATACCCAGCTTCTGATACAGATACCAAAATAGCAGAAGGCTATGAGATTGGGGGTCAAGGACAGAGAAGGAGATGAACTTCAGAAGATGAATAGAAACTCATTTTTACCATTGTTGGACCTTAATTCATAGTGGAGAAAATGAAGCTCAAACAACAACTACACCCAATAAAAAATATGAACATACATCATTTTGGATAGAGGAAAGATTTTATAGATTTTTAACATTTCATATATGCGGGGGTGGAGGGTGTATATCTATCTATATATAAATAGCACTAGGGAAAAAAGGAACATTCTTTAACAATATCAAAATCAAAACAGGTCAAATTTAAATTTGAGAACAGGTCTGTAAGGAAACATATTACTTCTGTATTATAAAAGAAACATTGTAAAGTTTTGTATCCTAGTATTGAGGACAAGTTTTCTGCTGGTGTAAACTGATGCAACTCCATTGTGTTTAATGGGACTACTCACAGACAAAGTTACACATGCTCTGAAGCATTTTCTGGATTGGGACCAAAATGCTGAGCAACTTGCAACATCACAAAAGGAGCTGGTTGCCACTGCGTTTCTGGAGAAGACCATGAGAGAGGCCATTACTGAACTGCTACATATTGATTCTCGCCTGCCTTGTATCTTGCATAGTCATATACATTTATGCAGTGTGAGCGCAAATTGGGTATTAAAAGTAACAATGAGAATGGTAGAATTTTATTCCCACCCTGCACAAGGGAAAATGGTTATACTGTACAAGGTGCAAGACCACGGAGAACCAGGCTCCTTATATTTTGCAAGAAAAAAAATATTAGTACTATCCAACAGCTCCCAGAAAATTCAAGAGATACTGTGAATCTACCTTGGCATTTAAATGGCTAAACATAGATTTCTAAGAGATGAATGTGTGACACCTCTCAAAGAAATCACAATGTAATTCTACATGTCCTTTGAAAACAAATTTGAATCCTTAACTCAAGCAAACTGTTAGGCTAACAAGAACAACACCAGGCAAAGAAAGAGAGAGAAGGGAACTTTTTACTCAAGTGTAATGTCTCAAGCATAAGGATGGTCCTAACGTCTTCACAAACTCCAATCACTCACCCGTTGTATGCACCATTCCTAACAGATCTACAGATTTCATTAGTGAAGTAAAAGGGGCTGGTTCTTTACTGGAGCCGTTCATAATCTTGGAATTCCCCTCATGAATTGCAGGACTCTAAGAGCAACCCAATTAGAAGACATGGAAACATGGCCCCTGCCTTGATTTCACCAGAAGCATCAAGAGACAAATGAGTTTCCCCACCACCAGCATGCAAGGCTCTCACCATCAGTCTGTCTGATGGTCCGTAAGTGTGGTGCTACAACATCACATATTCCTTTTTGATCATCTCGGTTTGCACATATTGACAACTGTATTATTATATAAGTTCCCCCGGTAAGCAAAGGTTGTTCATATGTCGGAGTGGGGAAGCCGTGGTTAGATGGTAGCTTCCTTATCCGAATATACTTCCATTAGATGAATAATTCTAGTTATAAATTCTCCAGCAGCATGTATAAACTGCTTGGCATGTACATCCACCTTATTTTCCAGGTTACTATAAGAACCACTGCAATTCAACTGATTTAAGTGGAGTTTCCCTGGGAGAACTCACATTGTCAGAAATGGTCATTAGCTAAACAACTTGGATTACCATTGCTGCGCATCTCTAATTTGATTTGACTAATCATAATCTGGCTGTGTGATCAGCATTGGTGTCAAAGGAGAAGACATTGTGAAGTTGCAATCTTTCATCGAAAACTGGAAACAAAGTTTGGTTTTCTAAAAGGAACACTGTTCCATGGTATAGACAGGCCTCTGACCTTTAGTCTGCGATCTTCATCTCCACTGCACAGAGAATTTACAGACACTTTAAAGGATTTCCAGGCTGGATTTAAGTTATTCATCACAACCTGAGAACGAAAAGAAAGAACGAAAAATACTTGACATTTGCATGTTTCAAAATAGAATGCTGAACAATAACTATGACTTTCAACACAGTATGTTAATCAGAAAGGGAAAAATGTGCAGAGAGTAAACCTTTAATCCATCAAATTAAGTGCACCATATTGTTGGAAATGTTTTTGTAGCAATCCACTGGACAAGCAAAGACTGTTCTGCTTAATGAAATCTTTTCTATGTGTACTGTTATGCTTGGATGGCAACAAGGGAGAATTAATACAGATTAGGCCCTGATCTGAAGCCCAGTGAAGGCCACAGGAGTCTCCTGCTGACTGCAGTGGGCTTTGGATGAGGCTCTTAAAAAGGAACAGCCTGAGCTAACTAAAAGCCCAGTGCGTTAAAGCCCTTGAAAATGTTTGACGTTTAAAGAGTTTATACATCACACAAGTACTCTTTACTGACATAGTGACTGCTGACCAATTAGTTACCCGGGAGTAAATCCTGCCCCCACCCCTCCAACAGATGGAACAAGCCCTGAATGTAGCAAAGTCTTTGTGGGTCTACTGTGAAAAGATGTAGAGAGCTAGCTCAAAGACCCAGACCCCTGCATGCCACAGGACTGTGTTCCAGTCAAAGCACCAGTGGTGGAAGCGACTGTGTCTGTCTGCACTAGCAGCAGCGCACTGAAGCCCGGTGTATGTAGGTGTGGTTTGGGGGGAGGATTCCATCTACTCTGGCCCCCTGGACCTTTCCCACGCACAGCCCATTTTCTCAGGTTTTTTGTTAGGAAGAGGATATGCCCCATGGTATGTGCTGTATCAGGTTATTTACCATGATGGTAAGTACCAGTGCCATGCAATTAGAAAGTTAATGATATGGTTAGAATTCTGGATTCAGATTCTTGCCTGTGGCTCCCACAGATTGCAATAGGGGTCAGGCGTACATGTCTGAAGTCAAAATTTGATTCTATGTCTAATTTTTCACAGAACAGTGATTCTCCACTTTGGAATCTATGAAGGATCTGATCCTTTTGTTCTTACATTGGTAAAACTCCCATTGAACATAGTCATGGAGCACGGACAGTGGGATCAAGCCCAAAGACACTAAAAAGGGCAAGAGCCACATATGTGACATCATGAAAAAAAATAAAGATGGGTATAAGCAGGCAGAGTGGTCCACCTGGAGAACCAGTCAGAATAAAACAAAACAGTCTTGAAGGCTAGGTTCTTCCTCCAGACTTCTATTTCCTGAAGGTCTTGGAATGTACACGAAGCAGCCTTATTTAAGCATAAGGGAAAACAGCCAAACAAGAATGAACAGAAGTAGTCTTCATTACAGAGCACAGTATATGCCTTCTCTGTAACATGCTGCTTGCATTCTGCCTCATAAAACGACAGCTCTCTTTTCAGGCAGACAGATCCCAATGTTTTCTCTGTAACTTTCTAAGACCACATCTACCCTGTGACCTAAGGGAGTGACTCCCAGCTTGTGTAAACATGTGCTTGGTTTCATCTGTGCATTTAAAATAGTTGCGTAGCCAGGGTAGTATGGGCAACAGCAATGGTGCTGACTACAAACCTGCCTTACCCCTGTGGATATGTACTTGGCATGGCTAGCCTGCACCAGTGTTGCCCGTGCTACCCCAGCTACAATTTTTAGCATGCTAGCTCAGATGAGTATGTCTGTAATCCAGGAATCACACCCCTAGCTCCAACTGTAGACGTAGTGGTGGTCTTAGCAGTTTCATAGATACATGCTAAAACAATCTGGTCTTATACTTCCAGAAAAGAGAAATGGAAACCCAGTTCCATATTACCACTTCAGCCCTGTACTGTCTGAGGCCAGAATCATGCAAAGACTAAGTCTTTGTCTACACTAATGATGTAAGTCGATGTAGGTTACACTAGTTAAGTTACATAACTTACATAACTTATATCGACTTAATGCAGTGTCTATACCGCATTATGTCAATGGGACAAGCTGTCCAGTTAACATCGCTTCCACCTCTCATTGAGGTGGATTAATTAAGTAGATGGGAGACCACTCTCCCATCGATTTATGACTTTATCAGACCCGTTAAAATGATGCCCGCTGCATCAATCGCAGCGGTGTTGATTTAGCCCATAGTGTAGACAAGGCTTTACTCATTGACTGACGTCAATGGGACTACTCACAATGCATAAAGAAGGCATAGGACACCTGTGCCTATGTATCAATTTTGGGCCCTGGTGCTTCATTTGCACATTAAGTCAACAGGAAAAAAGCAAGTTAACAGGAGAATGAGAAAGACAATATGGCATCAGCACACGGAAGAACAAACAGCAGGGGAGAAGAACTTTGTCTTGTGATACACTTCAAAGGTTTTCTGGACTTCTGTAAGGAAGAGGAAAGGGAACCCTGTGATAAGCCATAATTGAAGGAGCAAAAAGGACAGCCTTTTTTGTATTCATGAAAGCTGGGTTCTGGTCCAGGGGGTTGGAGACACTGGGAGGTTGCTTTAGGTGAGAAATTTAACTTAGACAAAGATTTCATCCTGCTAAAGTTATGTTTAGTCTCCTAGAAGCGTGTTATATTTCTGTTTTATTTGTAACTATATCAGTTTCTACTACCCTTACTCAATATCACTTGATTCTTTTTGTTAATAAACCTCTCTGAGTTTTATCATCAGTGGGAATTGTTAGTTGAAACCAGTAAGCGGGTGTGCACACTGTCTCTTTAGAGGCAATAGGCTTGGTAATTACTGTGTGTCCAGTGACAGAGGCTGAACACTCTTTAAAGGGGCTCAGAGACTGGAGTGCAGCAAGTGTTACCTGCCATGCAAAGTAAACGCTGGCAGAATCCTGAGAAGTTTGTCTAGAGTGGCTAACAGACGAGGGTGACAGAGAGCAGTCATCCCATTTAGCACCAGCAAGTCTCACTTTTGCTAACGCACAGGGGTAACAAGGTCACCTACAGCAGGGGTTCTCAACTTTTTTTTTTTTTCTGAGACCACCCCCCCAACATGCTGTAAAAAAGTCCACAGCCCACCTGTGCCACAACAACTGGTTTTCTGCATATAAAAGCCACAGCCAGTGTTACGGGGTAGCAAGCAGGGCAATTGCCTGGAACCCCATGCCACAGGGGCCCCGACAAAGCTAAGTTGCTCAGGCTTTGGCTTCAGCCCAAGGTGGTGGGGCTCAGGGACCCAGACATCAGCCCCATGCAGTGGGGCTTCGGCTTTCTGCCCCAGGCCCCAGCGAATCTAAGGCTGGCCCTCTTTGACAGACCCCCTGAAACCTGCTTGTGGCCTCCCAGGGGGCCACAGACCCCTGATTGAGAACCACTGCCTTATAGTTCTGGGTGCCCCGAGAAAGTGTCACCCCATCAAACACAATTATATACTGTAAATTAAATTAAGCCTGCATCTTAGGCAGGGCCGGCTCCAGGGTTTTGGCCGCCCCAAGCAGCCAAAAAAAAAAAAAAAAGCCGCGATCGCGATCCGCCGCGGCAATTCAGCGGGAGGTCCTTTCCTCCGAGTGGGAGTGAGGGACCGTCCACCAAATTGCCGCCGAATACCTGGACGTGCCGCCCCTCTCCGGAGCGGCTGCCCCAAGCACCTGCTTGCCAGGCTGGTGCCTGGAGCCGGCCCTGATCTTAGGTTCCAAGAACACTCTTCTCTTCTCACTCCCAGCAGCACACATCAGGAGTAGTTGTACTGAAGTCAATAGTTACCCTAGTGTGAAACTGGGGGGAAAGGAGTAAGTAGGACCTCAGTGAGTCAGTGTGGGTGCTTGGGAGTGTGTCCTTTGAAATGGCAGAGATAAAACTATTCCTTGCTACAGACCAGCTGTGCCCCTGGAGAATAAAACCAGCCCATTACTCACCTCAGTCCTGTGAACGAGCTGCTGTGTGGCATCATCATTCATCCGGAAAATCTCCAGAAATGGATCAGATTTGCTGAAAAAATCCTAGAATAAAAATCAGAGCACTTTACTCTTGAGACCCATTGGAGTGTATCCACAGCATCCCTCTGCTTCCCTGCTAATGAAAAAGAAATGCTAATTCTGTTTCAGTGAGACAATTAGGTATCCCAGAAGTATCTTTTATCCTTACTCGTTCCACCAGGACTTACACAATGTTTCCGCTGGTCTCAGTTTGGCTATTCAATCATGGCAATAGGCATTGTTTGCAGTAATACTGTGGCCTGCTTTCTCTTTTAACGATAACTTCCCCACCTGTACACAACCTGATTCCTGCTGAGTGCAGCCTATCTAGCTGATTTATTTCTGTCCTAAATACGAGTTTGGTCATTTATCATCAGTTTTATTATATTTGGGAAGCTGGACCAGATTTCAAAGGAGTTACACCATGGATGAATTTAGTCCTATTTAGATAACCCGAACAGAAGTTCAATGGCTGGGATATAATGCTATTGTCAACAAACATTAGCACAGGCAAGCTATGTTGGAGGCTTGGTGATGCATTCTTAGAGAAAAGAGTCCTCCTAAGTATTAAAGACATGACCTGTGTTTAAACAATAAACAGAACAGGGGGAAAGGGAAGCTGCTAGATGCCCCTAACTATGGGCCAATCCAAAATATCTAATCCTTACAAATAATCCTTTTTGGGCACTTCGACTCAGAATCTGAGCTGTGCTATTATGCACTGCATGCAGCTGATTGTAGGGGAGGGCTGCAAAGTGTTTACTGGACCCCCATCCTGGATCCTGTTCCTGATGCAGTATTGAGCATCTTTTGGGCTTCTCTAAACTGTGCTGCTGTCTATAGCCCCATGGGGCTGCTATTAAAGCTGCCGACTGTTGGAGCACAGCAACATTCTGACCATGGCCCCTTTTCTCTCAACCACAACCTCCTACTGGCCCCCTGTAGCAAGGAATCCCCAGGTAGATGGTTAAACCAGCTTTCTAAATGCAGCAGAAGCACCCCCCCCCCCAAATTCCTCTGCAGTACTGAAAATTCAAACAGAATAACAACATTTTGTGAGTTCAAGAGAAAAAGAAAACTGGAAACAGATTAAAACAAGTAAACAGAATCAATACAGCGTCACTGTAGTTCAGTGTCATGAAAAAACTAAAGAACTGACTTAAGTGGAGTGCCCTAAATACATTATTTTAAAGACTATGCTGTTTTAATAACCTAGGAAAGGAAGGATTTTTAATTATGAATTTTAGCTTATGGTGTCTCCTTAAATACATAAGAAAAGTTAATTCTTTCTGAACCTATGCAGTAAACATCACTTAACATTAAAGTTCCTTAGTAACAACTCAGAAAAAGTCTGTGCTCAAGAAACACTTATCTGCTAAGAGATTTATCAAATTTTGTTTCATAGTTATTAATGTTTTCAAACCATTTCAGCTGTTACAGTATGTCTCTCAGCATGTTCAGCTTTATTTTATTTCACAATAATATTAGAGCAGTCCTCTTTCTGGAAGATGTATCATGCAATAAAGGTTTAGTGTCTAAGGCCTGGTCTACACTAGGCTTTTATGTCGACTTTAGCGCCGTTATATCGAATTAACCCTGCACCCGTCCACACCAGGAAGCCATTTAGTTCGACAGAAAGCTCTCTTTAAATCGATTTCTGTAATCCTCCCCAACGAGAGGAGTAGCGCTAAATTCGACATGGCCATATCGAATTAGGCTAGGTGTGGATGGAAATCGACGGTAATAGCTCCGGGAGCTATCCCACAGTGCACCACTCTCTTGACGCTCTGGACAGCAGTCCGAGCTCGGATGCTCTGACCAGCCACACCCCCGGGAAAATTTGAATTCATTTTCATTTTCCTGTCAGGGCAGTTTGAATCTCAGTTCCTCTTTGGACATCGAGGGGAGCTCAGCAGCAGTGGCAACTATGCAGAGCTCTCCAGCAGAGATGGCCGTGCAATCCAATAGAAAGAGGGCCCCAGCATGGACTGATCGGGAAGTCTTGGATCTCATCGCAGTGTGGGGCGATGAGTCCGTGCTTTCAGAGCTGCGCTCCAAAAGAAGGAATGCTAAGATCTACGAGAAGATCTCTAAAGCCATGGCAGAGAGAGGATACAGCCGGGATGCAACGCAGTGCCGCGTGAAAATCAAGGAGCTGAGACAAGGCTACCAAAAAACCAAAGAGGCTAACGGACGCTCCGGATCCCAGCCCCACACATCCCGTTTCTACGAGGCACTGCATTCCATCCTGGGAGCGGCCGCCACCACTACCCCACCCCTGACCGTGGACTCCGAGGATGGGATCATGTCGGACATGACAGCGGACGGGGAAGATGAAGAAGGAGATGAGGAGGACGAGGCAGTCGACAGCGCTGGCACCGCTGATTTCCCCGACAGCCAGGAGCTCTTCATCACCCTTACCGAGATCCCCTACCAACCGTCCCCATCCCTTACCCCGGACACAGAATCAGGGGACGGATCAAGCAGTAAGTGCTGTAAACATGTAAACATTTATTTAAAACAGAACGGTAATATTTATACTATTAACAATGTATATTTATAAAAGTGCTGTAAACTAGTAAAAAAATAATCAGGTACAAAACAGGAATATTTACAAAGGTAACAAATGGGTTTTCATGATTTCTCTGTCTTAGGCTCTTCTCAATTTAGTCCCAAGTGTTTTAAAAAATTTTCACAATGTCCGTTACTCCATGATTCCCAGGCCCAAGACGCTCCACTCCATAGTCCCAGTGCACCTACGCGAAAATCCGGTCAATGTGGCCGGGGATCGACGAGAAATCCTCGTAGGAGAACTCCTCGTAGGTCTCGTGGAGGTAGAGCTCAAGCCTGTTGATCAGGTTCCGGGGTAGGGCGATCTTAGTGGGCCCTCCGTGGTAGCAGACATGTCCCCTCCATGCCACAATCAGGTACTCGGGGATCATGGCCCGACATAGCATGGCGGCATACGGCCCCGGTTTCTGCATGCTTTCCCGCAGCATGCGTTCTCTCTGGGTGTCCGGGATCCTCAGGAGGGTGATGTCGCTCATGACGCCCTGCTTTGAATTAGGGAGGGGACTGTTAGTATTGGGACTGCTTTACAGCCACGCGGTGGAGGGAGAGGGGCAGCATACAGGGATCTTTCCCTGGGACAGCCGCGAGGGGGTGGGACAGGGGCAGAGTTGATGCTGTCCTGATTGCTGGCAGCAGAGACTGGCATTGCTTTCAATGTGAAAGGAGGCCAGTGCTACTGCTGGAGTTTTAAGCAGCCACAAGTCTGCGGCTTACCATTATTGCCCGCTCCAGAAGTTCAGGTCTCCAGCCACAGTTCTCTGAACACTCCAAGACCTCCGCAAGTCCACAGGCACTGAAGGCGACGGCCGAAAATTCGACCTTGTCCTGAGTGCGCATGTGAGAGGTTCAGTGCATGGTCTTGTTCACAGAGAAAGACTAGGTTCTTTGTATACAATTTCATTTATCTGTCTCAGGAATTCACTCCCTTTTTAAAATTCACACAGACACATCTGCGACTGTCTCCCAACCCAGCCTGTCAGCACACTCCCAGAGGCTAGCGCAGATTAGGCGGAGGAAGAAGAAGACGCGTGAAGACATGTTCACAGAACTAATGGGCTGCTCCCGAGCCCAGGCAGCCCAGCAGACACAGTGGAGGGAGAACTTGTCACAAATGCACCGAGCAGTCATGGAACGGGAGGAGAGGTGGCGTCAGGAGGACCAACAGGCTACTGAAAAGCTGCTTGGACTAATGAGGGAGCAAACGGACACGCTCCGGCGCCTTGTGGATGTTCTGCAAGACCGGAGGCAGGAGGACAGAGCCCCGCTGCAGTCTATCTGTAACCGCCCTCACCCGCCACCAAGTCCCACACCACCCTCACCCAAAGTCCAAAGAAGGAGGGGCGGCAAGGGCCGTTAAAACTTTCAATCAACCCCTGCAGACTGCTCTAGCAGTAGAAGGCTGACATTCCCCAAAATTTCATAAGTCCTTTCCTACCCACCTCACACAAGCCCCCGTCCAAGTTTCACCCCCCACGTTTCATCTCTGGTTCGCAATAAAATGTTTGTTTCTGTTCATTACTGTTTCAGTCAGGTTCTTTTGAGGGAGAGTCTGTCTGGAGGGGGGGAAGGGGCTTGGTAATTGGACAGGACAGTCACCTTTAGCAGGGTACAGAGGCGGTGTCAGGTCCAGCATCAGGACACATACACAGTGCAGTCACTGGTTACCCTGGTCAGTCTGGGAGGTGTTTTTCATGTTTTGGGGGGGGGGGTTGCTCTGTGACTTTGTGGCGGGGGAGGGCAGTTACAGATCTTATGCAGCGGTCCTTATCCTGGCTCACAGATCCACGCAGCAGGGGATCTGTAACCCTACCCCCCCTGCCAGAAAGTCACATAGCCGACACATACACACAGTCCCCCCCAGGAGTGCTGGCAGGCTCCATTGAAATAACCAGTCCACCAGTGCGGAGCCTGTCATTCCGGGAGTTTAGAAGTATCATTTGCATCAGAACACTAAACCCGCCCCCCGCCACAGTCTGCGTCCCCGGTTTAAAATATTCCCGCGAAAACAGCAATACAGACAACGGTGTTCATTAAAAAATCGAAATGATTTTATTTTTTGGGAAGGGGAAGGGGGTGAAGGTTGTATGTAACTGGAGAGGATAGTCAAAATGGACTGGGTAAAGAAACGGGGGCAGGTTCAGCTTTTCTGTCCACAAACTGAAAAGTCACTGGTTGCCCTGCTCACTCAGGAACCTAGCTTTCAAAGCCTCCCGGATGCACAGGGCGTCCCGCTGGGATCTTCTAATGGCCCGGCTGTCTGGCTGGACGTAATCAGCAGCCAGGCTATTTGCCTCTAGCTCCCACCCCGCCATAAAGGTCTCCCCCTTGCTCTCACACAGATTGTGGAGCACACAGCAAGCTGCAATAACGATGGGGATATTGGTTTCACTGAGATCACAGCGAGTCAGTAAGCTTCTCCATCTCCCTTTGAGACGGCCAAAAGCACACTCCAC